GATGAAACAAGAATGCACATTCGCGGCCAACCCTGTAGACGCCACAAAGTAATCGATCGCTGCCCAGACCTCCGCCGTGGACTTACAACTCACAGGCGCAAGCGCTCGGCTCCATGATCTGGCCCCCGAGACGCCCAGCCCCACCCCATGACCTGAGGCATCTCTGGTGAAAAAGCCCCAATCTCCTCCCAAGACGAGAGGCAGGCCCCAGGAATGAAGCTGCTCCCCGACACGGCTGGGAGAAGGACTACCGAGCGGCCCCAATGGGCCCTGATCTTGCAAGTAGGTCGATCCCAAGATGAACCCGCCAGGCACGTGGGCGTTGATCCACCTGAACATCTGGCGGCGCGGATACGGCAGGCTCTCGGCACAGGCGGGCGGCATCCATATCCCGATATGGCTCCTGCGCGACGCGGCCACACCACTCAAGAAGCCCCCGCCTCTGCGACAACGGACGGGTGGATACTCGTCAACCTAATGTCTCAAGCCGGGCTCCGTTCTCAATTTGATCGGATGGGTCAACAGGAAGTTTCTGGAGCACGACGATGTGGCCCATAGCTCCCCCGGGGAATACTGCTTCGCTGACGACAAAGCTGCGGTGCTACAGGCTTATAAGCAGAAAAACTCTCCCTGGCTAGATCCCGCCATCTGATTCTGCTGCCCTGGCTGGGCTGCTCGCCCCCGAGGAAGTCGATCGGAAAAAAAGGATGCATAATATTTTGTAGGGGGGGGCAGAGGCCGACCCTCACCCACCCCCAGGCGGCCCGGCGAGGCCCGCCACCCCCGCTGCTTGTCCGCCCCTGCGCCTGCCCCCCCTGCTGCGACGGCTGGGCCACCAGCTCCTCCAGCGGCCCCATCCCACCCTGCCCCCTTGGCGCCCAAAGCCTCGGCAACCCTGGCGCGCGCGCCTACCCGTGGAGAGGCGCGGCTGGCGGCGTCTCCGCCACCGCGGGTGCCAGGAGACTCAGGGGCCGCCCCAACTGGACCAGGAGCAGGAAGTGCCGACGGCCCGCGCGTCTCGGCCCCCGCCTGCTGATCGCCGTTCTCACCCTGCCCGCTTCTTGGTGAGCCTGTCGATGTGCTCGCGGTGCTCGCGCTACAGCCGCTCCGCCGTCTCCTTGGCCGCCCCGAAGAGCTGTTTCGCCACGTCCTGCACGCCTTTTGAGGAACTGGCCCTGGCGTGCGGCCGCCTCCTTCTTGTCCGTTTCGCTGAGCCCGTAGATGTCGGCGAGGTCGAACATGTCCTCGCACCCTGCCAGGTCGATGCACGAGTGGTCGCCCTGCAGCAACTGGCCCAGGAAGAGTTTGGCATGCTCGCACTGCCCCTCCTTCTCATTGTTCGCCTTCGTGTACATCTGGCCGAGCAGGTCGCGGTAGTCACTGTCCGCCTTCTGCAGCCCCCCGGTGAGCGCCGCGACCTCGGCCTCCTGGTCCACCACGCCGAGCCGCAACCGCTTGAGATCCTCGACAGCCGTGTCCAGCGCCTTATCGAAGTGTTCGGCCTTCTGATGTGCACGATGGGCCCGCACCTGGAGCGGAGGACCCTTGGGGGCCACGGCCTCGCGCTGCTTGAACTCGAGGAGCCGCTGGTTCCTGGAGACCAAGCTTGAATAGCCTGCCTTACGGCCGAGGGCCGCGAACTGCTCAATATCCTTGATGATGAGATCCTTGTCCCCCTGCCGAGGCCTGGTGGCGGCTGCAGACCCACGGCCAGGGGGGGCTCATCCTCCAACGCCAGCAGGTCGGGCTCTTCCTGCGTCGTCTGGGCACCCCAGGAAATGCCGCAGTGAATGCAGTGCCACTGGTGGTAGGGATTCGTCTTGAATTGGCAATACTGGCATTGTCACTTTCGCGTGGGACCACCTGACATGCGTCTCCGCTGTCCATCATCCTTCCATGAAACACGTTTCTGGTGCTGACCCGCTGCCTCGCCATCGCCCCACGCAATAAAGGCCTGGGAAGCAGGGCGTCGAAGGAAGGAGGGCACAATACTGATATCGTGCAGACACAGAAAGACCCTCGCCCTTGGCAGGGCTACTTGAGCCAATGGTGTGGGCCAACGTGATTTAATCCACAATGGTTTGAGCCAAAATCGCTTGAGCTAAATGGCACCGAACCTCCTCCTCCTCCTCCTCCTCCTCCTCCTCCTCCTCCTCCTCCTCCTCCTCCTCCTCCTCCTCCTCCTCCTCCTCCTCCTCCTCCTCCTCCTCTTCCTACTCTTCCGCCTCCGCCTCCGCCTCCGCCTCCTCCTCCTCCTCCTCCAAGTATTCCTCCGCCTCCTCCTCCTCCGCCGCCTCCTCCGGTATTAGTATTAGTAGTAGTAGTTTGCTTCGTATGCTTGTTCGTACTAGTCTTCGTGTTAGTCGTATTCGTCTTCGTCGTATTATTCTTCGTCTTTTGAAAACTAGTATGATGTTTTGTATTACTATTATTCGTGATGGTATTCCTCCTCCGCCGCGCACATCCGTTTCAAACAATTGCAAGAGCTTCACATGTTGCGGGCACGTGGTTTTCAAAATGTGGCTCTCGCTTCGCCGCCGCGCCCATCCGTTTCAAAAGCTAAAGGAGTTTCAAGGGGTGTCATTGCTAACGCACTAGAAATTCTGTGTTGGAGCGACTCCTTACTCTCAGGGCGCAACAGTTACGTTGACTCGCGGTGTTGAAATCCCAGGAATGGTTTTCTGGTACGGCTCAGGATCGTCAATACGCAGCAGTCAAAATGACCCGTGGCGTTGAAGTCCTAAGAGTGGTTCCCTGGCGCGCTTCAGGAGTCTCACACAGCTGTTCCCCAACGGGGCATTTCACCCAATGGAAAAGAATACATGTAGGGGCATATGGAGAGGGAGCTTGGAAGGGAGGGCGTATTCCAACATCGTTGGTGAGTCCTGGGCTTACACTGGTCATCCTCCTCCTCCTCCTCCTCATCCTCCTCCTCATCCTCCTCCTCCTCCACCTCCTTCGCATCCTCCCCATCCTCCTAGTCCTCCTATTCCTCATGTTCCTCCTCCTCCTCCTCCTCAACATCATCATCCTCCTCCTCCGCATCCGCCTCCTCATCATCTTCCTCCTCCTCGTCCTCCTCCTCCTCGTAATCCTCATGTACCTCGTATTCCTCATATTCCTCCTCCTCAATTATCCTCCTCTCCCTCCTCGTCCTCCTCCTCCTGATCCGCGTCATCCTCCTCATCCTCAACATCATCATCCTCAGCATCATCATCACCATCATCATCATAATCATCATCATCATCAGCATCATCAGCATCATCATCAGCAGCATCGTCATCCTTCTCCGCCTATTCCTCCTCCTCCTCTGCCTTCTCCTCCTCCTCCTTCACTTAATTATCATATCCCTCCTCTTCCCCATAGTCCTTATATTCCTCCTCCACC